ATATATATATATATATATATATATATATATATATATATATATATATATATATATATATATATTGTGTTGTTTATCATTTTTTTATATAAAAAATGAAGATTGTTTCAAAGTTTTGTTTTGAAAAGGGAAAGATGTTGGTGATTGATATGAAATTTTATCCTATTTAACTGTCACATTTTAAGAATTATATTTTTATTGTCAAAAATCAAAATAATATGATAAACCGCAAATTGTAATTATTTTATTTGATGATGAGGTAAGATTACATCCGACACGCACATTTAATATTATCAATAATAAAACAAAGAGAAAACCCATTTTATATTTTAGTTTGTAATATAACTACTTTTTTCGACGTTTCTAAATAAAGTTAAACTTTGATAAATATTGTATTCCTTGCAAGTGCAACGTGAGTCAATTACTTAAACCACTCGGTATGATATGCATATTTAATGCTAACAGATTTCGCATGCAGGCAGCACGACGTCGAGAATATAATATTAATGCAACAAATATCCGTGGGTGCCTTTAATTACAGGGAATATGGAATTATCAACCAAATAAGCTGTTTAAAATATGATGTAATGATTACTGATATAATCTTTTGGTTGGTGAATTAGTCAAATATTTACAAGTAAACGATAAGGATCTAAACTAATTTTTTTGTTTGGTTAGACCATTTGTTTTCTGTCCTTTTCACTAAGCCATTCAGGCGTAGAAAGTAATAAGATTAACCATTTTGACTTTTTCACTGCTTACCAAGTTTGACCAACCCAAAAGGCCAATTACATGCCCGTTAAGCCTTTGACTTTGACCATCCAAGATGCTTTACTCACAATATCCATATCCACAAGTATTATATAAAATCTAATCAACAAACATTTTGCTAGTAAAAAAATGCGTCTTTAAATGCAATTCTAATGACTAAAGTAATTTAAACGAAGGTGAAACACAGAATATACAAAAATAAAGAAACGAATAAATCTAAGTATCTAACAACAAACTTTTAAATAACCATCTTCAGTTCCCACTAAGAAAAGGCGTGAAAACGGAAAAATGGTTATATTGGACAGCACGGACATGTTCCTCGATTCACGGTCCGCCATATACAGGTATTGTGGCGTAATCCGATGTTGCCCGTCCTGTGCCCACGTGTCAGTGTCATATATTTGAGGGCATATTAGTCATTTTACATGGACTTACTTAGCACCATAGTAGTTAAGCTAAGCTAAGCTAAGCGTGACAAATATAGTATTGAAGGACGACAAAGGTTAAAATTTTCTTTTTGCAGGGACCATATTCGTACAATTCTACAAAGTACAGGGACGAAAACTGTAAATTAAGAACACATGCATGATGCATGATGCATGATGCATGATGCATGAGTGAGTTTACCTGTTGAGATAAGGAAGAAAGTCCGATCTTAGTTCTGGATATTGAAATAACATCTTGTCCCCAGACAGAAAAACCAGATACACCGTCACTGTGGCCTCTGAATAGAATCAGAGGTGATGCCAAATTCCTGAAAAATAAAAAAATAAAATAAAGATGCAAAATGTTTGCTTTCTTTTTTTAAGGTAAAATGATAATTTGCATTTTTGCATATAAAAATTATTACTATATATGTATGGTTTAGATTTAAGAGAATTGTGAAGATTTGATTACTTTCTGAGGTCCCAAACTCGCAAAGTCTTGTCAAGTGAGCTAGAAACAAGCAAGTGGTCCTCCGGAGCAGCTATCTGCAGGAATTGGATTTGGAAGGTTCAATGCAAGAAATAGCATCCTACTTTCATTTTTTCCTATTACAGCATTGTACTCTGAAAAATTTACCCAACTATAATCTCCTAATAAGAAAAATAAAATGCTATAAACAATTACGTAGACTTTTCAAAATGCAATGCCTTAATGAGAAAAAAGATTGGAAAGTACAATACCGTAATTAAAAAAAAAAAAAAATTTAAAGTAGGATGCTACGATAAACAAATTGCTATATCTTGCAAAATAAACAAATAAAAGTAGATAACCTAAGCAACCAATACCATACCTTTGTGACATATCCATCATGAGCTTGCCATGAGTTGATCAAATTTCCACTCCTAATATCAAGCAACCTGCAGTGACCAGAACTTAATCCAGCTGCAATCCAAGATGCTCCATTAGATTGCATCTTTGAAGAACCACAACAACATATTGAAGAGATTAAAGAAGGAAAACTTGATTCAACGGAATCGCTCCTCCATAAATGAAGCTTTTGACCTTGTTCAACATCAATGAATCTGAATACCACAAAAAAAAAAAAAAAAAGGTTTAATTTGCTTGAAATGTTGTCACAAAGTGATTAATCACTTTACCTGAGAGAAGCGTTTCCAGTGCCTACCACAAGCCTATTTAGAGTTTGTAGGTGATGCATACAAGTATATAAACTCCCATCATAAGTAGTGCTTAAAATCCCATTACTAAGTGAGCTGAAATCAAGCATATTAGCTTGCTCAGAATGCATCTTCGATGTAGATGTCAGGGATTGCCCAGAATTTTCACCAATGACGGATATAACCTTTCCTGATTGGCTATTCCAAATGTGAATTGTGCCATCACAAGAAGCAATTCTTTCTGAGGAAGCCAGGGCACAAATGTCATTCACAACCTGACCAATATCAGCATATACACTAACATTAACCTTTACCCAAACCCAATATAATAAAACAAGGGTAGATTACAATTTTAGTCCCTATGCTATAGTAAGTTTTTGTGGTACTATTTTTAACCTTTTTGGTCCCTGACCGTTTATGTTTAAAGGCCATCATTTAGTTTTATAAAAATGACCATATTGCCCTTGTCTCCTTTATCTTCCTTTTCAAGAAACTCTAACCGAATTCAACCAAAACTCCATAAATCAAAACATCACATAAATTATATCAAACTGTTTTTCATTTTGTATTGTCATGTTTTGTTTTTTACAGTGTTATTTTACATCGGTTTAATAAATTAACAAAAAATATATAATGGAGGGTAAAAAGGTCAATTTGCATGGGTATAACGTACTTGTATAAACGGCATCAGCCTCGGACCAGAAAAGGTTGATTAACTAAAAATCCTAAAAGATACTTTTTTGACCACAGGGGGGTGGAAAGGTAATGTGCTCCAAAAAGAATGAAAAGATTTATGACAAGTTAAACCAAATTTAATAAATAAGATAAGAACTATAAGTAGTAAGAAACCTCTTCATGGGCATGATACCCAGATGAAGAAGCAATTCTTGATAAATCCCACTTGAGGACAGATCCCTTGAACCCTGGACCAACTCCAGCCGTAAAAAAAGTAGATTCATCTTGGCAAACAGCAAATGACCGGAGTGCCCCATGGTGGGCACGGATCGAGTGTATCACAGACGCACTGATTTTCCATGGACCTTCATTGCTGGAAGTGGAAGCCCCAATTCGACCAAGAAAATCAGGTCCATCCCAACTAGGTGCAGGACTAGGGAACCAAACCCACGGTTCCTGCTCTCTAGACATTGATGATGATGATGTCACCTGCCCCTTATGATGATGTGGCGATGACTTTTTCTGACCTTTTTCTCCTTGTGACTGGGGGACTGACCATCCGAATCCATGAAGCAACATTTTAGCAGGATTGTATTCAGACATTGGATTCTTGTTGTGATTCCCCCTTCTCCCACCACGACAACTTTCCTCTGTGTTTTCCCACTAAGGCGTGAAACTAATGTGTAAGTAACATACTTTATTTTTTTTTAATTTATGAAAAAAAAAAAAAAAAAAAAAAATACATCCCACCTTCCAATTATGATTCCACAGAAGAAACTGCTCAAGAATCAACCATGTGGTGCAACACTTACGAAGTGTCTCTATTCCAAGAAGTGAAGCAAAAGGTGGATACAGAAGCAACCTGACAACATGAAAATGCAAGATATTCATATTTATAAGTTAAAGAGGGCAAAAATGGAAAACCTACACAAGATCCATTCTGTTTTGTGTCTGCTCTTCCTCAATTCTAATTTTACAAACTTTCTGGCTTCCACTGCGAGTTTCCTCCGAGAAGGCGAGTCTTTCAAAGAGTTCTTTAAGTTTTGGCATCACATACATTGATGTTAATTCTGGTCCAATCTGTTGGGAAACTGTAACAAGACTTGTAGCAGCCACCTGGCAAAAACAAAACCCTATTTTTATACTTCTAATAATAATAATAAATAAAAGTAAGAAAGACTACAACACCTGAAGTGCAGGGATTCCCAAATTGGGTATCATGAGAAGCTGAATATAGAGGCAACCTCCATCCTGGTAAGCCACACAATGCAGCCATCAATTCATATGACTTCTTGAATCAGGTATATATATATATATATATATATATATATATATATATATATATATATATATTATTGACAATTTAATGGTGTTTACACACCTCGATTAGCTCTTTGACAACCACCTCATTCGGCAATAATTCCATTATTCCATCTAGTGTCATCAGACAATCCATAAGGGCCAACGCACTCCAACTTTGCATAGGTTCAGGCCTACTCACATTACAGACATCCATACATGAGCGTATAACGTTTTTCAATAATGGAAGAATCTGTTTAACAATGAAAGTCTCCCCAAAAAGACCACCTGAATGTTAAAAAACAGTTAGCTTATAACACAATCATTTGTTTACAAAAAAGAACCATGGTTAACACTTGCCAATTCTAACAATGACATCAATTCCATCACTGCAAAGACCCTTTCCGAAGCAGTGAATCAGGGGCAATATTGTCTGGATAAGGAGTGATGAGTTAGTTAATTGATACAGACAGATTGTATAAGTTATAATCAAGAAAAATTGACAAGTTTAGTGGTTATTAAACCTGATGAACAGTAACTGGAACACCAAGCTCTTCACTTGAGCCAATCAAAAGCACAGAGGCAGCCCCAGATGAACTCTTATGAGGAGAAACATATAAATTTGATAAAACCACAGAATGTATAAACTCTAAATACATCTGTTTACCAATCTTGCTCCATAACTCACGTACAAATGAGTCTTGAAGAAGAGAGACCTTCATATGTGAATAACCTGTCGTCTACACTACACAAGAATCTTTATGTCAACAAAAACTTAAATTTGTCCAAATCAAGAATCAAAGAATAAGATTTGAAACCAGCCTGCAGAATCTTCTGGATCACAGGCAAGATAAGTGTCTTCACGGATACCAAATTCAGACACCTCAAGAATTCTTTCAGCATTATATGCGCGCATTCTGATTCTGTGTCAGTTAAAGGTGTGAGTAAAAGAGGTAGGCAGTGGGGCGCACACATTTCAGCTGCAAAACTTCCCATTGATTTCAAAGCTCCAGATTTTGCATAACTTGCAAGATAATGGAGTCGAGATCCATCTTTTGCTAAAAGTTGAAGTGGGGCTAGAAACAGGTATGATGACCTCACTGTTGATGGGAAGTAGGGAGATTCCAAAAGAGACTTAATAGAAGGTCTCCTGATTATTATTATTATAAAAAGAAAGTCATCTTCCCAATTACCTGAAAAAGTTATAACAAAAAGGATAGTAATTCAAAAAGGGTACCTCTTCCAGTCCTTCTGAATGCATGCTTCAACAAGAATGTTCACTTGAGGGGGCAGTTCTTGCATCGATTTAGGCAGAACACCACTAAGTAAGTACTGTGCTAATGAAGTTGGATTAAAAAGTGGCTTTCTCAAATGTAGTTCTGCTAAAATACAACCAGTTGAGAATACATCATTTGCAATATCTACAGAAAGATTTGTTGAAGAAGATAGTTTTTGTCTCCACAGAAGGAAATCTTGGTACCCTGAAGTACTATCATCTGGCTCAATCGTCTGAAGAAGGAAATTGATATCAATAACTGATGCCAATTTCGAGTCTCTCCCATTTTTAAATGTGTCAAATCCAACTTCTTCTAAATTATCCTTTACAAGATCATTTCTGTAGATTGGACTTAAATGGGAAGCATGTTCAATAAATGTAGCTGCTTCCTCTAATGCTTTCAAGTTAAATGTATCAAGAAGCAGATTCTTCTCACTGTTATGTTGACTAGTCTTCTTTATAACACACCAACGAGGTGGATGGGGTATACTGAAGAGCTGGCGCCGCCCTGCTGACCTGGCATTTGTAGGTTCTGAAGGGGGCAACATGACATTTTTTGCAGAAATGGCTGCTTCCCCTGACATTTTGTGGCCAAAGATAATATCTATCCAATGATGAATCTGAGTTGATACACGATCACTTTCCACAGCCTCTCGATGCAATTTAATAAACTCCTCGGGCCCACCAGCCCATGAAGGTACTGCCAGATCAGACATTCCAGAATGTATAGAACGGAAAATCTCAGGATCTTGATAAAATTCAGGAATGCATTCATCTGGGGTCCATTGATAAAGCCTGTGCATTGTAGAGGGGTATTCATTTGGTTCATAGACTGAACGGACAGCTGTACGCAAAACACTTAAAGGCAACCTCCTTGCTTTGTAACTACAAACAGCAAGTTCTGAGAGGCATTCATCTGAAACATGATGTGGGATTTCTGATGTTAAGTATGTAAAGTCCAACTGTTCATCACCTTTTGCCAAACGCCATTTACTTTTACTTAAATTTCGCCAACCCATGTCGTTATTTTCATCAGGTTTTACACTAAAGTCAATAACCCATGGCATAACAGTATGGAAAGTATGATCACCCCATCTCCTACCAGCTATTCTGTTTAACAACAGGAGATAGTCAAAGTTACTCATTTCTCCACTCCACCAACGAATAAAACCAGTATGCCAATCTGTTAGCTTCAAATCAGCATAGACTTTACTTGACTGACACGTGTCAGTGCAACAACCAATCTTACTTCCGGATAAGTTGGAGTTTGATTGTAGAGTATCACCAATATGAAGCCAACACCATAATGAATCAGTTAGCAATATGTTTGATGGAGATATGCTACCATGGGCAATCCCTAATCCGTGCATGTATCTCAAGGGAGAGAGTAGTTGATACATCAAGAACTTGATATGCCAGTTTGACTTTAAGGCGTCAGGGCTGTAGTGAAGAATGTTTTCCAAGGTGTAAGGAGTTTTTGGTAGTATTAAACTGATATGGGTGGATGATTTCATTATGCTCAAGATTGGTACTATGTTTGGGTGTCTTATGCATCCAGGAAAAGTGGTTCCTGTAAATGAGGGTATCCCGATTAAATCAAGAAAGTTAATGCTATCTCTTCCTGTTGGTTTTCCTTGTATCAGAAGAGTAAGTGAGTGAAGTAAATGATCTTCTGTAATCCCAGATGAGAAATTTGAAGCTAGATTCTCTAAAGAAGGAAATGATATAGGCCCAATTTGAGAGACTGGAACCAAGGCTGTAAGTGTCCTCAAGCACGAAAACCTTGTTGAGAAGTAGCAGGTTGAACTGTTGCATTCTAATCCAGGTAAGGATGTTTTTCCTCCACTATCTGCCAAAAACAGAGGTTCATTTGGCTTATCACGAAGATTCCCAGAGGTAACCTCGTGTTGATCTTGAGGTAGAATTGATAAAGGCGTGTTATCCTTTGCTTTATAGTCATTTCCAGCTGGCTTTTCTGGACAATGCTCGTTACTGGAGAAACAGATGGAGATCCAGTTGTATTATAATTAAATAAAACTCTATAAGATGGAAATTAGTTATTAGTTATCTAGTGGTACAATATTCTTGAGAGCTATAGAAATTTGAAACTTCCAAAGATGAATACTCACTCATGTAACAATAAAAACTAGATGCAAATCAATAGGGCAACTTCATATGAGGTGTTATTGTGATCTATTGGTAGAGACTTAGGAAGTTTCCTTTCATTCGGGAAATCGAATTAGTAAACTGTAATGTACAACTGGATCATGTAATGTACAAATCAACAATTTAACTTGCCACAAAAATGGATCATGTAATAGCAAAATGAACAGGTCAATTCTAGTAAAAGAAACAAAAAAATAAAAGGTAATTCCTATTATTAAAATTCCCAAATTATAGAACTGGCGTAGATGATCATACATGTAATTGGTGAAGCAATCATCTTGATTAATCGGCAAATACATCAATATGAAGTGAGGTGAAACCTCCCCATCAGAATTTAGAACCTGCATCAAGACCCTCAGATTTTAGCAATCATACATGACACATAACATAGTTGGCTGACTGTATAATATATATTAACATAGACAGACACAGCGAAGGAAATGATATCACCTGAACAACGGCGTCGGAGCCGAATGGAAGGGCGGAAGCGGCAATGGCATAATTGAGAAGGAGTTTGTCAGAGAAATCGGTTCGAAGTTGACGTTGAAGACAGTCGAAGCACATTTGAAGTTCCATTTACTCGATTAATTTCATGGGAGGGGCATGTTACCACTGCTGATTTCAATGGATCGTTTGTTTACTTCATTTTGGCTGTAACACCAAATTAATCGATTTTGCGACTTCAGAAATCGGGAAACTTGTACAACCAAAAGTACACACAATTACCGATTACTTTTTCTTTTTCCTTATACAGTAACAATATATTGACAAAAATAATACTAATAACAAGATATTAAAAAAAATAAAATAAATAAATAACTAAAGGTCATATATGCTATTTTTTTGTAAGTGTTGATTATTGAACCTCTTTTTAGCATCTTAAGCGCATTTTTTTTTCATTTTTACTATTATTTCTTTTCATACCTTTTTTTTATCGGTTTAAACTTTAAACACTTAATTGGCATATTGATGGTAAATACTAGATGCATCCATGAGCAAATTTTGTGATTAATCTGAAATGGACTAAATACAACTATGGGTCCGGGTAAAACCTATTTTAACCTTGGAGGTAAAAACCAGATAAAAAAACTAAAAAACAACTAATAAAGAAAATATCATTGTTAAATTTGACATATATGGAACGGGTAACATAAGATAAATAAAACTAAAAAACAAAAACTAAGAATATTTAGCTCTAGGGGTAAAATAGAATGAATTAAACAAAAAAAATGGATTTTTGAAGCTTTTATAATCTTATAGGGTTAATTAAACTAGAACATATATTTGAATAAAACAGGATAAATTAAAATAAATATCACATGTTTGAAAATATTTAGAACATGGGGTAGAAATTGTCTAAATTAAACTAAAATTTTGAAATATTTAGAATTTTATATGGTGAAAACATTATAGACTATTCTTTCAAAGAAAAAAAAATATTATAGATTAAACTAAGAAGTTGAAACTTAAGATATTTAGAACCTAAGGTAAAACAAGATAAAATAAATTTAAAGAATGAAAAAATTAGTGGAGGATGTCATTTTTAAATATATAAGTAGTTTATATTAAAATAATAATAATAAATTGTTACTTTGATTTTTGTTAGCATTTATAATATGATATGAGTGTCTTAGGTTTATATCAAATATTTAATTAAAATTTACCGGCAAGTCTTTATTATAATGGTATTGTTAGGGGGTGTTTGGTATAGGGATTTGGAAGGAGAGAAATGGAATTGATTCCATTTCTCTTGTTTTGTTGGTCTTAAAAAAAGGAGAGAAAAGGAAACAAATGAATTCCATTTCTATCCAATTGATTCTCTATTAATTATGGAGAAAAGGTGGGAAAAAAGAAAATACATGTATCAAGAAATACAAAAAAAAAAAGCGGAGAAATAGTTTGTCCCGACTTCGAGCCCTCTCAACTACAATCCAAGTTTAAGCCACTTCATATTTCCAATTATCATGCGATTATTTTTAG